TCACCAGCTAGTACAAGAGCTTCACATTGATCTAACACCTGTCACCCCTCCCTTAAGGATTAACACCCTGGACAGGCAGCCATTGGGCACAGGCTTCATTACGCACCTGACACAGAGCGTCACCCTCCAGATTGGAGTCTTCCACACCAAAACCATTCAACTCATGGAACTCTCATCCCCCAAACAGCCACTCATCCTCGGATACCCCTGGCTTTGTCGTCACGACCCTGCCATCTCGTGGCGACAAGGTGAACTACTCTCCTGGTCTTCTACCTGCTTAACCAGTTGTCTCAGCCTACCCTACAGAGCCACCACCATTGAGGACTCTGCCTCTGCAGTGCCACCCACCATACCATCTAAATACGCCCAGTACAGCAATGTCTTCAGCAAAATCAAAGCCTCCACTCTGCCACCACATCACCCAGGGGACTGTGCTATTGACTTACTTCCTGGAATGTCCCAACCGAAGGGCCGTGTTTACCCCATATCTATCCCGGAAAATGAGGCAATGGAGAACTACATTGATGAAACACTCAAACGGTTTCATTCATCCTTCTTCTTCCCTGGCTGCGTCCAGCTTCTTCTTCATTGAAAAAAAGGACGTTGGTCTCCGTCCATGTATTGATTACCGTTCCCTGAATGACGTCACGGTCAAGAACCGTTTCCCTCTTCCTCTGATCCCAGCGACCCTTGAACAAGTGGGCCATGCCAACATCTATACAAAACTCGACCTGCGAAGTGCATATAACCTTGTCCGTATACGTGAAGGCGACGAATGGAAGACGGCCTTTATCACCGCACGAGGGCACTATGAATACCTGGTCATGCCCTACGGCCTTATTAACGCCCCTGCCATCTTCCAATCCTTTATGAACTAGGTTTTGCAGGATATGATCAACCGCTTTCTCATTGTCTACAGTGATGACATCCTGATATACTCCCACTCCCTGAAGGAACACATACAGCATGTACAAAAGTTTCTTTAATGGCTCCTTGACCATAACCTTTATGTGAAGACTGAAAAGAGCACCTTCAATGTAACCTCGGTAAACTTCCTCTGTTTCGTACCGACACCTGGAGGGGTCAGCATGGATGAGAACAAAGTCACCGCCGTCAGCAACTTGCCCAAACCCACCACCGTTAAGGAACTGCAAAGTTTCATTGGGTTCTCCAACTTCTATCGCCGGATCATTCAGAACTTCAGTTCTACTGCCGCTCCTCTCACTTCCCTTACCGGCCAAAAGACCTGGACCCTTCAATGGACTGATACCGCCCTGACTGCTTTCAACACCTTGAAACGCCTCTTCACCTCAGCTCCTGTCCTTTGTCAACCTGATCCGACCCTTCCTTTCACCCTGGAGGTGGATGCCTCTGAAGTAGGAGTAGGAGCCATACTCTCTCAGCGGGTGGGAACACCTCCAAAATCACATCCCTGTGTCTTCTTCTCCAGGAAGTTATCCTCCGCTGAGAGGAATTACGATGTGGGAACAGAGAACTCCTCGCCATCAAGCTGGCCCTCGAGGAGTGGCGCCACTGGTTGTAGGGCGCACAACATCCCTTTCTCGTCTTAACAGATCATCGTAATCTGGAATATATCAGAGGGGCCAAGAGGTTAAACTCCAGACAAGCCCACTGGGCTCTCTTCTTCACATGCTTCCATTTTCATGTTATTTACATCCCTGGAAAGAAAAACGTAAAAGCTGATGCTCTCTCCCGCCAGTTTGACCTTCTGATCAGTAACTCAGACCCTACACCCATTCTTCCTTCCTCTTGTATTATGGGACCGGTACAGTGGGAGGTTCACTCTGCCATACAAGAAGCCCTAACCTCAGATCCGGCTCCTCCTGAGACACCAGCTGGGAAGAGTTACATACCAGCAGTTGTTAGACCCCAACTGATGCAATGGTGTCACACATCCTTCGGGTCAGGACATCCGGGCATTACACGAACCACCAAACTTCTAGCCCGTAAGTTCTGATGGTCCTCACTGGCATCCGATGTAAGGGATTACGTACTCTCCTGTCCAGTCTGCCCCCAAACCAAAAGCCCTCGTCATCTCCCTTCCGGTAAGCTTCAACCTTTGCCAATCCCTCACAGACCCTGGTCCCACATAGCTGTTGACTTCATCACAGACCTTCCTGAATCCTCTAGTAACACCACCATCCTTGTCTTAGTAGACCGTTTTTCAAAAATGTTCTCTTCCTCATTTACATTTTAGCAGACGCTCTTATCCAGAGCGACTTACAGTTAGTGAATACATAATTTTTTATTTTTTTATACTGGCTCCCCATGGGAATCGAACCCACAACCCTGGCATTGCAAACACCATGCTCTATCAACTGAGCTACATCCCTGCCGGCCATTCCCTCCCCTACCTTGGACAACGCTGGGCCAATTGTGCACCGCCCACAAGTCTCCCAGTCACGGCCGGCTGCGACAGAGCCTGGATTCGAACCAGGATCTCTAGTGGCACAGTTAGCACTGCGATGCAGTGCCTTAGACCACTGCGCCACTCAGGAGCCATGGAATTGGCTGAGTGTATGGTCCAGTAGGTGTTCCGTCTGTATGGGATTCCGGAGGACATCGTCTCTGACCGCGGGCCCCAGTTTGTCTCCCGGGTGTGGTGAGCCTTCTGTGACCGACTGGGGGTCGCCCTCAGCCTCTCCTCCAGGTACCATCCCCAGACCAACAGGCAGACGGAACGCCTGAACCAAGAAAAAGTACCTCCTTCAACAATGTTCAGCCTCTCCACACGACTGGAGTCGGTGTATGGCCTGGGCCGAATACGCTCTGAACTCATGCATTCATCCCTCCGCCTTACTCCATTTCAGTGTGTACTTGGTTACCAACCCCCCATGTTTCCCTGGGAGGCGGAGCCTGGTACTGTCACAGCTGTCGACGACTGGTTTCGGCATAGTGAGCGGGTATGGGAGACAGCTCACCGGCATCTGCAGGAAGCCTCTAATACCCAGAAACTCTCTACCAGAGAGGCTCCGTCTCCCCTGCAAAAACTTCTGTCCTCGCTTCATTGGTCCCTTCAAGATAACCCATCGCATCAACCCTGTCACGTACCGCCTCCAGTTACCCCGTCAGTATAAAATCTCCTCGTCCTTCCATGTGTCTCTGTTAAAACCGGTCACCTACAGTCCTCTTCATCCTCCAGTCTCAACCTGCAGTGCGCCCCCACCGTTGGACGTCGGAGGGGAACCTGCCTACACCATTCAGGCCATCCTTGATTCCAAACGCCTGAGAGGTCGCATCCACTATCTAGTGGACTGGGAAGGTTATGGGTACTGTAAGGTTCTGTAGTTATTTTCTTAGTTCAACTTGTGTTCTTGAACGTAGCCCTGTTTCTTTGTGTTCTTGAACGTAGGTCTGTCTTTCATTTTTGTTCACTGATTTCACCTGTGTTAGTTACTCACCTGGTCTCATCAGCTCCTTATTTAGTTCAGTTCATTCTGTTTGTGCCTTGTGAGGTATTGTCCGTTTTGACTCTACTAAGCCTGTTCCTAGCTCGTTTGTGAGAATCAGTTATAACCTTCAGTCTTAGTTTTGATTCACCTGCCTGTTTGCCTATCTGTGTATGACCATTGCCTGCCTGTGACCACGATTCCTGCCTTCTGCGAAGGCGAAATAAACACCTGCCGCACTCTGTGTGTGAATCTACACCTTTTTCTCCCTGAGTATTCATTACAAGAATACAGTAAGAATGGCCCATGTTCTGAATTCTGTCGCGGTACATTTCAAAGCTTGCTCATTAATGTCCTAATTGAAATTACGGATTGCCTCTTATCCACTCATCGTTCCCTTATGCCATAGTTTGTACATCTCAATTGTCAGTAGAAACCACATTTGTTTAAGCAAGTCAGCCATATCAGCTATGTTTTTTTTAAAGGCAGTAAATGAGGCTGAATGAACTGTTTCACTGCCAGTCAAGGCTCCGCTGATAGCCAGGTGTAGCGGTGGTAAGGATTTAGTCAATGGTGCTGAAAAGAAAGCTCTGCTGTTGGGACAGCTTTATGTAGGCCCTAGCAGCTTGTGGGCACCGTTTGTGACCGTTATAGTGACCGTTATGGTGCAATTAATGTATTGCCCCACCAAGATTTACATGCTAAAATCGGCACAGATGCATGTGGTATTAGAGAGCCTGATAAGGTTGCTCTGTTAAGGTAGACATTGCTTGGTTATGATATTGTGATTACTAAATGTGAAAGTCTTCTTTAAAGAATATGTTTGAAAACATTATTTTAAGATATAGAAGAAATGTAATTTCTTAATTCACAGGGAATTGATTCAATTGCTTGTAACCCAGTTGAAGAAATCTGGATAAGTAATTCTAAAGTGAACTTGGAACAAGATGAAAAAATGGGTTGTATTTGCATGAAATATTAGTTTGAATTTGTTAGGTTTAACCAAAGGGGAAAGGTTTAGTGTTGAAAGATATAGGTTGCAACTTGAAAAATGTTTATTAATAATCAAATATAACAGTTGGCATTGAATCATATATTTTGTTTCAACAAACTAACTAATTTCCTTGTAACCAGTTGAACACATTTTTTTAGGTTGATCCAAAGTGTAATTTTTTACAGTGCACCTCCCAAGCCAACCTCCTGCTGTCTGCTTCATTACACATTACTCCATTAAACCAGGCCACAGTAATTGAGTTCACAGACCAATCAACCATACAACGTGTGCCATAAAAACTGTGCTTGAGAGTAAGTGTGTGTCTGACCTTTGTTTACCTTGTAAAAAAGGTTGCTGGCATTTAACCCCTTTCCCAAATTGTAAATTCATCCATGTGAAATCACACCACATAAGGCCAAGTGCAAAAATATATTATTTATTTACATCAATAAATATGGTACCATAAGCACTGCCTCAGAAGTGTTGACACTGCAGGAATCATTCACAGCATGTTACACCAGTATTTGGAAATATCATGGTAATTTTACTCTTGATATTCATCCTATATTTCTTTGATTGTTCCTCCTACATATTACCTGCAGTGGCTCATCTGGCTGTGATGGTGAACTGGGTTTGGACCATGTGTCTGCTCTGGAAGCCTAAGAATGTGCAGGTGTAGGTTCCTGTGTGTTCCTGTCTTCCTGGGTTGTTAAGAAGGAGGGCTCCGTTTCACATCAGAACCTGGTCCTGCTCCAGTCCAGCCCGGCCCTCCCAGAGGTTGGAGATCAGTCTGGTTCTGCTGTCGTAGGCTCATTGTGGGCTCATTGGTTCTGGTGAAGGACCATGTGAGGGAGAAGTTCTGGAGTTTCTGTGGAGCGATGCAGGGGATGGACAGCGCTCACCCCATCTCTCCAATCAATTCCTCTGAAATAGAGACACATTCACCCAAAGTGTCACAGGCTGGTTTTGTCCAACTTTATGGGCCTTAATATTGTTATGGTGGACTTTGATAAATGGGTGAAGGATCAGAATACCTGTCTGCTTTATGAAGGTGGTCCACACCTGGGCCTTGTCTGCAGAGATGACTGAACAGAAGTAGGTGTGGTCAGAGACATTACCCAGGATCCTCACTCTGCTCTCCACTGTGTACAGACCTTTGGAGTCGAGGGTTTTGATGGTGGAGTTCTGTAGTGTTTTTGGTTAGATGGTGGGTCTGTGGTCCATGCCACCTGAAAGGCAGGATAGATGTTCTGAGATTAACAGGAAACCACCTCCTCAGTAATCTATATTCTCACTGACTGGATGAGAGCTGCAAAAGAGAAAAAAGTGTTCTCTGTTTAATAAATTAAAATAAGAAACGCTTTTATAAGCATGATAAAACATAGCACTACTTACTTCAGACATTTTCCCACAGTAACAGCAGCAACTAACCTTCCACCTTAACATCCACAAAGGTTTCCTGGTTACCCATAATGGTACTGGTGTAACACTTATATATGCCCTCATCTGTAACATCTACCCTCCAGAGTAGGAGTGATTTATTTATATGAAAATAAAAATCAATTATTTATATAGTCTTTAAACAAAGATGTATTTCCACTGAAATGTTCATTCTGAAATTGTAACTGGTCAATGTCATCATAGTAGCTATGGATGGGGGTTTGCTGTCTGTACCAATGAATCACCTCGTCTTCATTTGGTTTGAAGCTACATGGCAGCACACAGTCCTCACAGTAGAGACAGGTCACCAGAGAGACTGAGAGGGAAGACATTGACATAAAAAATTAAAAATAATATATAAAAAATTACATATTCTTTAATAGAAGTTTGGATTCCAGAGGATAATGTTATATAATTGCAATCAAACATTTCTGATAATCAACATTTGTAGTATTCTTACCCGTAGAGACTTTTTTCTTAGAGTGTCGAGGGAATAATAGTACTGTACAACATTTTCACAATCTTAAATATCAAAATATGCCTGCAACGCCATAAGATAATGATATAGTTGAATATATTTTTGTGTTTTTGTAGAGACAGTTGAATAAGGGAGAACACTTTCTATGTCTATGAAACCTTTACTAAAGCAAATGTCAACAAACCCATGCCATTTGAAGACGTGTTCATGCTTGTGAATCCTTAAAAGAAAAACAAGTGCAGGTCAACTCAAACATACAGCATAACCAGTATAATCCAAAATATAGTCACATCACTAATTTAATTTGACTTAAAACATATCGATACAGCATAAGCATTTTCTCCTATACAGAATACCAAAGTTGTGTGACCATATTGTTAAAACGAAATGTTACGCTTCATTACGAACAGCATGGCAGTGTCTATTTCTGTCTCGGTAGCCTGCTGTAGCTAGCTAGGTACCTTAGAAGGGTAAGGCATCTCAGAGTTGGCAACTGTTCAGACACTCACAGATGACTACTACAATGTACACTTTATTCAAAACTTTAATGTGAATGATGAAGACTGTACAGTTATTCAATTGCTTAGAACACAGATGCACTCCATTGTAGAACGGCACTCTCCAATGAAATCACTGGAATGCATCCCTATGTGGTTGAATTTTCCCCCTTGAGCAAAAAATGTGGGTTGTGGTCCATGGGCATATTTTCTCAATATCAGTGAAGCTAGAAAGGCATGCTTGATTGATGATGTCAGGCCTGTGATTAGAAACATATGATTGTCATCTAGAACGTCTTGTCAATCAGAGCTATGTATGGCCGTTGTTGTGTTCTGCTGTCAGCTGGCAGTTATCCATTGGCAAATCATCAGATGTTTTAACTGTGAGGGAGAGATGGAGAGGTCAATTAGTAAGGCAGGGCAATAGGTATTAGCCAATGAAGGAATAACTCTAAAGCCTGCAGTATTTCCCTCCAGTGTACTACTTGGAAATGTGGCATCCTATGACAGTGCCACGTTGAAAGTCACTGAGTTCTTCAGTAAAGCCGTACCACTACCAATATTTGTCTATGGAGATTGCATGGCTGTGCGCTCGATTTTATACACCTGGCAGCAACAGGTGTGGCAGAAATAGCCGAATTCACTCATTTGAAGGGGTGTCCACATACTTTTGTATATATAGTGTAAGATAGTTGGATTGGATTATAATAAGACAAAGGCCATATAATGATGAGTCCTGACAACTACTAAAATAGGCCTACACTTACTAGTTTCCATTGGCTGCATCTCTGTGTCCTCCACAGTGGTCCTATTAGCCTGCCGTTGGTTGGCTAAGGAATACATAAATCATATGAGTCATCACTTCCTTCATTGTCATGTGAGTATGAGTACAGAATGCATGGTGCGCAGAAGTGATTAATTTACTCTCAGGTTTTCCATCACATTAGTTATAGTAGCGTGAACAGTAGGATAGCAGATGTCTCTTTGATACGCTGATGTACTCCCCCTGCAGGCCCGGGTCCCCCTGTCTTTATACTTACCTCTTTGTTTTCTATACAGTAGTAGAGCTGTTGTTACTGCTGCAACCACTGCAACTACTACAGCAATCACCCACATCTTGGAGTGACTTTTCCCTGTACGCTCAGCCTGGCCTCCAGCATTTGGCATATTTTCTAGACGTTTGGACAAGGTAAATGTGTGAAAAATTCAGCATTATGAAATGATGTGAACACTTATCATCAATAACCTTGCATGCATTATAAGCACATAGAGTGTACATATTTTAAAGGTATAACTTTTATGTACCTGTCAACGACCGCTGTAATGTTGACCTGATGGTGACCTGGGTTTGGACCATGTGTCTGTTCTGGAAGCCTGAGAATGTACAGGTGTAGGTTCCTGTGTGTTCCTGACTCTCTGGGTTGTGAAGAAGGAGGGATCCGTCTCCCATCAAAACTTGGTCCTGTTCCAGTCCAACCCGGCTCTCCCAGAGGTTGGAGGTCCGTCTGGTTAGGCTGTCGTAGCTGAGGATGACGTTGGACTCATCATTGGTTCTGGTGAAGGTCCATGTGAGGGAGAAGTTCTGGAGGTTCTGTGGAGCCATGCAAGGGATGGACAGGTCTCGCCCTGCCTCTCCAATCAACTCTGTTGATGAAATAAGTTTATGAATTGTGAGCCGGTGAAAGCATTTTATTTGTGGCTTTGTTGGTAGAGCATGGCGCTTGCAATGCCAGGGTTGTGGGTTTCGATTCCCACGGGGGACCAGTACAAAAAAGTAAAAAAATGAATGTACTGACTTATGTAAGTCACTCTGGATCAGAGCGTCTGCTAAATGACTAAAATGTAAATGATATATATCACTGTCCATTAGCGGCCTTCCCGCTATAGTCACTCTCTTAAACACTAGAGGGCGGTGTTACCATAGAGATCCTATTAAATTACTAGAGGGGCTATGTCATAAACATTTACATTTAAGTCATTTAGCAGACGCTCTTATCCAGAGCGACTTACAGTTAGTGAGTGCATACGTTTTTCATAAGGGCCCACCGTGGGAAACGAACCCACAACCCTGGCGTTGCAAGCACCATGCTCTACCAACTGAGCTACACGGGCCCCAAAGGTCCAGACTGGGTGAAAATGGCAGCCATATTGGTTAGGGTGAAATCCAAACCACTCTAATTGGAATGAATGGCAGTAGAGGTATATAATCATGATTTTACTTATGCAGGAAAGTAAGTCATGTGATATATCAGAAATGGTGTAATATTTATTTAACTAGGCAAGTCAGTTAAGAACAAATTCTTTTTTACAATGACGGCCTACACCGTCCAAACCCGGACGACACTGGGCCAATTGTGCGCCGCCCTATGGGACTCCCCATCACGGTCTGTAGTGACGCTTCAAGCACTGAGATGCAGTGCCTTAGACCGCTGCGCCACTCGGGAGCCCAATATAATTATTGTCAACATAAAATATTGTCATATAATTGTAAATACAGTTTATACATGTTCTATACCAATTTTCTGTATAAATAGCCTCTAGAATATATGTAAACAGACCAGAAATGTCTCAAATGTTTTTCTTGGAAAGCTGTGAGTGCTATTATGTTCAATTTACAACTTGTCTAAATCCTATCATCAAATGATTTCAGCCAGTGTATGACTGTGGATTGACCACATTGTTTGAATGGAATGTTGGCATATTGACAGTTAATTTGAAAAATGCATGGAATCATTCCTCTAAAACTGTCTGGCTAGCTGACGAACATACAGTATAGATAAATTATTCAAATTCATTATTTTACACAATATCTTATCACAGCACTAGCAAACCATGGTTGACTAACTCCCTGACCAAAATGGCTAACCTTTATCCCATCATAAGAAGGTTAACGTCAATTTTAGTACTCTAATTCCTAATACAGAGAAATAGTAATGGCGTCTTTTTGTAGGCACTAACTCAACCATGGTTCGTTGGACAAAGCCTATGAGGAAAATGAATGGCATTTTTGTAGGGTTTTTGGATAAACACCAAAAATAAGGTATGTGGTAAACACAGGTTTAGGAGATCTTATACGTTTTGTTCTATGAAATAATCTTCATCAGCTAACGTGACTTTTTGTGAATTTTGACGAATTTATGTAATAATTAAAAACACACAAATCACAAAGGCTTCATAATTCATAATGGTCATATTAACTGACTGCTATTATCTCATAGAACAAAATGTATAAGATCTCCTAAGCCTGTGTTAACCTCAAACCTTATTTTCGGCGTTTATTCTTTCCCCATGTATTCTTCCCATAGGGATGGCTGAACGAACCAGAGGACTGTAAGCTTTTAGGACTACAAGCTAGCGAGCTCTATTCTTTGGGTGTTACACTGAAATCAATGAATTATAAATTTTCTCAGGCATCAGCGCATCACCCAAGTCTGGCTGGGAGTTGAGAGAACCTGTATTTAAATGAGTCTGTTTCTCTGTGTGGGTTTGTCTCTGGCTCTGCACTTAGTCATCATAACAGTCACACCCAGCAGTGTATTACTGTTTTCATGAGAATTGATCAACTATAAGCTATGCATCTGCAAAATGAGAGAGCAAGAGAGAAAGAGAGGAAGAGAAAGACAATACTAATTATGCCGTACCTCCTTCTTGCAGTGAGCTCTTCCATGACTGTGATCCATATGTGGAATTAACGGTGCAGACGTAAGTGAGGGTATTTTCAAACATTCTCAGTTTGCTCTGAACGGAGTAGAGGCCCTCAGTGTTGGGTGCCATATGTGTGGTGGATCTCAGGTTGGCTTTAGGCGGCAGAGTGGACCATTGCACACGGGGAGCAGGGAAGATATCCTTAGACAGGCACTGAATCTCTCTGTTCTTACTTATCTCCATAGTAACCATCTTGATGGGAGCTGCAATAGCATTGATAGAGAGCCAGGGTTAGAGAGTAACAGCCTTGAGTGGTTTCACTACAAACTGCGAATTTGAGAGCAATAACCATACAAAAGGTTTTGTACAGCAAAGTCACAAAACCAATAACAAAAGCAAATACTTGACTCTTGGCTTGGCATCAGTTTAGCAATTTGGCTCTAGCTCTAACAGCTCCAATACAGCTGCAGCTGGTCGACAAACAATGATTCATGTCCCTTCACATTCATGACAGAGGGTGTTTTACCACAAGCTATGCTGAAAGAATTTGATATGTGAAGTGGATACTCAGCAGCATACTCTAGCCTCGATACTAGCGCCAGCGGTACAACTAACCCTCCACTTTCATGATGACAAAGGACTCCTGTTGTCCCAGAGTGCTGTTGACCAGACAGCTGTAGCGGCCTCGGTCCTTGATGCCACACTGGCTGAGGTGGAGCGAGGCGTTGCCTCGGGAGAGCTGGTCCTGAAGCAGGTACATCCTGGTACGGTGGTCCTTGGGAGGCTGGTCCGGCTGGTCTCCACCCTGCTGGGAGTGGCTGAGGAGGAGTACCTTCTGGCGGTACCAGCTGATGATCTCATTTCCGCTGGGTTTGAAGCTGCAGGGTAGCACACAGTCTTCTGAGAACAAACATGTCACATGGGTATCTAGGGGAGAAGTAGAGAGATAACAGTGTGGGCAAATGTGACCTTCCTTTCATAATTAGTCAACATTCTTTCAATAAACCAGCGGAAAATCCAGTGTTTCTATGTCAAACGGTTTTGTTATATTTTATATTTCAGTCTTCTGTGATGTATATAAAGTGTAATTTTTGGATGCAAACTCAAAGTTGAATACATTTCAACTCTATATCTGACATGGTACAGGTGTCTTCTTTTTTTAAGCCCATAACTATGTGTGTGAGGTGTATACTTTTGTTTCAAAGTAGATTTGTTTAAGACTACCAAGAAACACTGTGTGACCCTGATTTAGGCGGAATGAAAAAATATCTCTCCATTCTTATCTTTTTCTTTTAACCCACACACCTACTCACGGTAGGTTTTTTCCATATCAGAATATACATTTACATTTTAGTCATTTAGCAGACGCTCTTATCCAGAGCAACTTACAGTTAGTGAGTGCATACATTCTTTTAAATTTTTTTCATACTAGCCTCCCGTGGGAATCGAACCCACAACCCTGGCGTTGCAAACACCATGCTCTACCAACTGAGCTACATCCCTGCCGGCCATTCCCTCCCCTACCCTGGGCCAATTGTGCGCTACCCCATGGGTCTCCCGGTCCCGGTCGCGGTTCGAATCCCGGTCTGGATTCGAACCAGGATCTCTAGTGGCACAGCTAGAGACCACTGCGCCACTCGGGAGAACATCACATACGACGTGTACTGGATCCTCATTTGGTCATGAGTGAACTTTTTCCCCCCTCTTTCCATCTTGCTATAGATTGTGTTATTCTCATGGTTCTGAAACATTCACTATGTTTTGTCTTACCCAACCGTAACCTGCAGTCCCAGCATTTTAGCCACCACACAATTCAGAGTGAGCTCCGGCACCTATGGTTATGGTGGGACTTCTAAAGCCAAACATGACAGGCCACACATTACAATTGTCGAGTTAAATGCAGAGTTTGACTGGATAAGTATTAGATAATACCCTTGAAACTGGTAATCACACAGCCTAATCTCAACATGTGGCTTTTTCAGTCATTTGTTGTGCACAAAATGTGTTTGCAACAAGACATTGCACTGTGAATGGGTAAATGTTCACAGGTGAATTTATGGGCTTTTTACTGCCAAAATAACGATGGTAACACCAGTGAAGTCCTTCATAGACAGGGCACCCACTCAGAGTCAAATATAGTACATGACTATATAGAATTAGCATGTGTGCAAATGTGTGAAGAGTCAGGGATGTCCCAGTGAGACTGTGATCTCCTCAGAGTAGACGTCTTTAAATTCCTCAGCAACATTCCAAACAGGAGAGACCGCTGACCTGCGTCCCAGGATGGTCTGGCCAGTCTAAATACTCCCAGCCAGAACAAACAGTGGCGTGCCGAGGGCCAGAGGGCCAGCCATCAAAGACGCTGTGGGCTACTGGATTCCTCAGAAAGAACACATCTCGACTCCTGCTCACTGCCCACTGACTGTCCACCTCTCAAGAATTTACAGGGATGTGGACAACATAGTCCCACATGCACAGCAATAGAGGCTCAGCATTGCATTGAAGGATGTTTTTACTTCATAAATCCTCAGATTTGCTGAGGATGGATAGGGACTTCAACAACAAGCTACAGGGACAGTGCAGTGACAATATGTAATTTATATTGTATATGAATGGTTGTTTGTATTTTAAAAAAACTCCTGGCCAAACCATTCTCTTTAAACTAATACTTTACACTGGATTTGTCTCATGGAGAATCCCTATGACCACATGTTAAAATAGTCTCGTTTTAGTTTTGCCAAGAGGAACTATGATTTCTTGTGCAGTGAAAGGGACCCAAAATGCAAAAAGCACCTGTTCCATGAACAAGAGATGTAGAGAAAGAAAGTGTACCCAAACCCACTTCAGCCCTGTTTGAACAAAAAGGGAAACATTCCTTACCCCAGGACACAAAGAAAGAAAAAGGAGTACTTTGTTTCTGCATAGATCTGATTATTTATTGACGGGACACAACATACAAACATGTTTACGTTTCAGCGTAATCACCTCCATCAGAGCCAGGTAAGCACGTATGTCTTTATTTCCCTGGATAGTCACCCATTGAAGTGTCCTGGGGTAAGGAATGCTTTTAGATAGAGATGTATCTTAAGATTAGATCAAATGGAAGTATTTAAAGACATACAGTAGTCAGATTATTTGTTTCCTCACTCAGAGGCGCAGCACAGTCACATTAAAGACATCCCATGCCTTGACCCTTGACCCATGAGCCTATCTTGACAATTCTTGCACTACTACCTTTCAAAGAGGATAGGGAGATCTTATCCTTACCTGGGATCTTACACTTTGCCAAGGTGAGAATCCACAGCAACCTCAAAAAAGCTTGAGCAAGTGCCTTTACCATTCTCATTCATTCACAAAGTCACAAGTACGGTTGTTGTTGACTCACGTCCTGATTCCAATCTGTGGCAATCTTAAAGCAATTAGGAGCTCTGAATCACAATCAGTAACTTGGTCTCTCTTAGATCTCACATTTCAGCCTCAGTGATGGTGTGGATCAAAAGCATTTGCTGTCACTTTAAAGGTTAAAGGATCCAGGTGGAATATATCCTTGTAAACCCAAATGAGAGCCAATGAGTCTGAAACCCACTGCCACAGACATACGAAAGGTCCCACCTGGAAGTCCCACTTGTGCCAGAGCAGAAAAGCAGTTTCCCTGTCAGAGCAACTATCTCCTCTCACAGTGAGAAGAGAGGGAGTGTACGAGGAAGAGAGCGCGAGAAGGAGGGAGCGGCAGGGCAGACAGGCTAGACTGAAATACACACCCCTCTACAGAGACATCGAGGCACAGTGGAAACATTGTTTACACTGTGTTACTTGGAAACGCCTCTTTGCCTCTTACCTCCCTGTCAAACCTCCCCACCCCTTCCCCACCTGTCACACTCAGTGCCTCATAGAATATCGTCATAGGATTGATTTATTTCCACGTCACTCTGTATGTCCGTTACCCCCTGTATATAGCCTCGCTACTGTTATTTTACTGCTGCCCTTTAATTATTTACTTATCTATTTTTTACTTAACACTTATTTTTCTTAAAACTGCATTGTTGGTTAAGATCTTGTAAGTAAGCATTTCACTGTAAGGTCTACATCTGTTGTATTCGGCGCATGTAACAAATAACATTTGATTTGATTTGATTTGTCACCACTTTTACATCTCACACTATTTCACCTTCTCTGAGTAATAACTGCACACACAGTAGACTAGATATAGTGCTCTTTTCATATTGTAGTTTCCACTGAAACAGTATATCTTCTTGTATCTTCTAGTTCCGTGAAAGGCATCTTCTTTATCTCTCAAGCCTTCAATACCTTCATTAATCATAGAGAACTGGTCTGGACAACAAAAAACTGTGATGTCACAGTGCCCTGCCACTAGCAGGCATGCATGAGGTTAACCACAGAGAGAGAAGAGCTCAGCTCAGGGTCAATGATATCTCAATGTGGAACATATTCAGTCACTGTTGTTTCTGTCTGTCTCCCACTGGGCACTACTGCCACTGTGTTATACACACATGATCACAGACCACACTAAACCTGAATGCTAATCTATTTCTTGTTGTAGCTGACTGCACCTAACTTTCAGGAAGTTTTCAGGAAGTTTGCCCTCACATTGAATGATGCAACATGTTTTCTGAAGTTAGTTCCTTGTGTTCAGTATCATTGACCTCCAAGGGGTGAAATAAAACCATAACAATGCCACGTTATATGATGAGTCACTTATGATAAATGTCCTATTTATCCCATAGTAGCTGATAAACAGAGATGAGCACAGAAGAAAGGCACAATAATTTCACAGCAGAATTGTGTGTCAATAAAGAGTGGTTATGGTTTTAATATCTGTTTTTATCATAGCAAACATATATTAGACTGGAGGCCTCACTCTGTTGCCATGATTTACCAACAGTGAGTACTATAGGGTGTGATTGAGAGATGATCCTGTATTTACTCCATGATGTGTAGCTACACCTCTCCTTTATGGTCCTTAGGAGGCGCGTGTGAGGGGAAACCATGGCTCCACGTGAATGCCTCTTAAAGATGGCAGCACTCATCTCTGCCCTCAATCAACGCTAATCCCAGATTAAAGGAGCATGCCACTGGACTGGGATTATGCTGTGGGCACTTCCATTTTATCATTGATTCTCTACCAGTCTTCCTGACTCACTTTTATACTTCCTCTGGTATACTATTTATTTCTTTTCTTATAATGTGTGTTTACTCATCACTATAATGTCTGTCATTTGTTTATTTTTGGTGAATTTTCTCTGTGTAATATGGTTTAATTCTGGTTATATTCCAGTGACTAAACGTTGTTCCCATCCATTCCCAGGTCATCATACCTATGAATATTACCAGCAATAATCCAAACCCCTTGTGGTGACATTAGCAGACTCTCTGGTTGATAAGAAGCAACATTTAACTGGCCTGACAATCATGACTGGCCTACATTAGTCAATAAGGACCTTGAAAGGGAATCATTGTTTTAAATGACTGGAAAACATGCACTGATAGCCTTGAACTATAGACATTGCACAGCCAATATCTAATAATATAAAAGCAGCTATGAGACCACTATTTTAGTTCAACCTTATATAAAAGTAGCTATGAGACCACTATTTTAGTCCAACCTTATATACAAGCAGCTATGACACCACTATTTTAGTCCAACCTTATATACAAGCAGCTATGACACCACTATTTTAGTCCAACCTTATATACAAGCAGCTATGAGACCACTATTTTAGTCCAACCTTATATACAAGCAGCTATGACACCACTATTTTAGTCCAACCTTATATAAAAGCAGCTATGACACCACTATTTTAGTCCAACCTTATAATCCACACAACCAATAGAAACATGTAGAATACATGCACATTTCTGTTCCCTTCATGGATATAATCATGGGTATATTCTATGAATCATCATGATCGTAGAAGAGTACTATTACTATACTATTCAGTGGTGTGGACAGAAATCCATTGATGGCAGGGCCAGCAAAAAATGTTGGCACTCAAATCCTCATTAAATTAGCCCCCCCGTCCGGAAGTTGGATAATTTTGCATTTTTCAAACACCTGAAACAGCTTTTTCCTGCAATCTAGAGCCATTATCATTATGCTTAATAAAAAATTAAAATAATAACATATATACAGTGCATTCGGAAAGTATTCAGACCCCTTGACTTTTGTTACGTTACAGCCTTATTCTAAAATGGATTAAATTGTTTTTTCCCCCTCATCAACCTACACACACAATACTCTATAATGACAAAGCAAAAACAGGTTTTTAGAAATGTTTGCAAATGTATTGCAAATACAAAACAGAAATACCTTATTTACATAAGTATTCAGACCCTTTGCTATGAGACTCGAAATGGAGCTCAGGTGCATCCTGTTTCCATTGATCATCCTTGAGAGTCCACCTTTGGTAAATTCAATTGATTGGACATGATTTGGAAAGGCACACACCTGTCTATATAAGGTCCCACAGTTGACAGTGCATGTCAGAGCAAAAACCAAGCCATGAGGTCAAAGGAATTGTCCGTAGAGCTCCGAGACAGGATTGTGTCGAGGCACAGATCTGGGGAAGGGTACCAAAACATTTCTGCAGCATTGAAGGTCCCCAAGAACACAGTGGCCTCCATCATTCTAAAATGGAAGACGTTTGGAACCTCCAAGACTCTTCCTAGAGCTGGCCCCCTGGCCAAACTGAGCAATTGGGGGAGAAGGGCCTTGGTCAGGGAGGGGACCAAGAATCAGATGGTCACTCTGACAGAGCTCCAGAGTTTCTCTGTGGCTTCCAGAAGGACAACCATCTCTGCAGCATTCCACCAATCAGGCCTTTATGGTAGAGTGGCCAGACAGAAGCCACTCCTCAGTAAAATGCACATGACAGCCTGTTTGGAGTTTGCCAAATGGCACCTAAAGACTCTCAGACCATGAGAAACAATATTCTCTGGTCTAATGAAACCAAGATTGAACTCTTTGGCCTGAATGCCATGCATCACTTCTGGAAAAAAACCTGGCACCATCCCTACGGTGAAGCATGGTGGTGGCAGCATCATGCTGTGGGGATGTTTTCAGCGGCAGGGACTGGGAGAACAGTCAGGATCGAGGGAAAGATGAACAGAGCAAAGTATAGAGATATCCTTGGTGAAAACCTGCTCCAGAGCGCTCAGGACCTCGGACTGGGGCAAAGGTTCACCTTCCAACAGGACAACGACCCTAAGCACACAGCCAAGACAATGAAGGAGTGGCTTCGGGACAAGTCTCTGAATGTCCTTGAGTGGCCCAGCCAGAGCCCGGACTTGAACCAGATTGAACATCTCTGGAGAGACCTGAAAATAGCTGTGCAGCGACGCTCTCCATCCAACCTGACAGAGCTTGAGAGGATCTGCAGAGAAGAATGGGAGAAACTCCCCAAATACAGGTGTGCCAAGCTTGTAGCGTCATACCCAAGAAGACTCAAGGCTGTAATCGCTTTCAAAGGTGCTTCAACAAAGTACTGAGTAAAGGGTCTGAATACTTTTGTAAATGTGATCTTTCCGGGGTTTTTTTTGTAAGAAATTTGCAAAAAAATGTAAAAACAAGTTTTTGCTTTGTCATTATGGGGTATTATGTGTAGATTGATGATGGGGGAAAACAATTTGATCAATTTTAGAATAAGGCTGTAACGTAACAAAATGTGGAAAATGTCAAGGGGTCTGAATACTTTCTGAATGCACTGTAACTAAAGTTACTTTGAAAAATTATCATATCTTAATCTGAAATGACATGGACTACATATTGCAAGAATAGATCTCTATGGTGTCAGATGTTAACAGAATGTGTAATTTGTCTTATTAAACACAAAAAAAATGATGTTTCAAGTGAGAATAAGGCAGGTCTAATGCCGAAAAAGAAAGGAAATGATTTCCTACTTCACCCATATTGTCTCTTCTTTTTGCAAAAAAAGTAGCGTGTAGTTCCAGTAGTTAGCTACACATGGCAAAAAAAGTAATTAACTACTGACAAAGCTACCAATATTTGAATGTAGTTCAACTACATTTTTATATTTTACATTTTAGTCATTTAGCAGACGCTCTTAAACAGAGCGACTTAAAGCTACTGCAAAATGTAGTTAAATTACTAGTTGAACTACAGTGGGGGAAAAAAATATTTAGTCAGCCACCAATTGTGCAAGTTCTCCCACTTAAAAAGATGAGAGAGGCCTGTAATTTTCATCATAGGTACACGTCAACTATGACAGACTAAATGAGGAAATAAAATCCAGAAAATCACATTGTTGGATTTTTTATGAATTTATTTGCAAATTATGGTGGAAAATAAGTATTTGGTGAATAACAAAAGTTTCTCAATACTTAGTTATGTACCCTTTGTTGGCAATGACACAGGTCAAACGTTTTCTGTAAGTCTTCACAAGGTTTTCACACACTGTTGCTGGTATTTTGGCCCATTCCTCCATGCAGATCTCCTCTAGAGCAGTGATGTTTTGGGGCTGTCGCTGGGCAACACGGACTTTCAACTCCCTCCAAAGATTTTCTATGGGGTTGAGATCTGGAGACTGGCTAGGCCACTCCAGGACCTTGAAATGCTTCTTACGAAGCCACTCCTTCGTTGCCCGGGCGGTGTGTTTGGGATCATTGTCATGCTGAAAGACCCAGCCACGTTTCATCTTCAATGCTCTTGCTGATGGAAGGAGGTTTTCACGCAAAATCTCACGATACATGGCCCCATTCATTCTTTCCTTTACACGGATCAGTCGTCCTGGTCCCTTTGCAGAAAAACA